GTCGCGGGCTGAGGAGCAGCGGAGAGGCCCCTAGTGCCCCGGCACCTCTGGCCAGGCTGCTGGGCTTCTGGCGCGACGCGAGGCCTCCCTTAGCGGTCGCCGCAGCTCCGGGGCTCGGGGTGGGGGTGACTCCCACTTCACAAGTGAGGAAGGTGAGGAGGAGGACCCAGAGCTACCGTCGCGAGGCACCCTCGGCCGGCGCGGGCCTGCCGCCACCTCACCCTGAAGGCGGCAGGGAGATGCACGAGGCTCCCCAGGCCACCCTCCGCGTCCATGTTCCCGTCCCCGCCTTGGAAAGCTTCTCGGGTCCGGGGGGACCAGAAACGGGCTCCAGATGCTGACTGCAGAGAGACCCCCGCACGAAAGGCGTCCAACAAGAGGAATGGAGTGGGGACCAGAGTCACAAGGCACTCTCAGAGCTCTCCTGTGTCCGGCGACAGCCCGCCTGGTGGTGACCTTATTCAGCAAGACCTGATGTTAACGGAATTCATTCAACCGCAGTCGTCGCGATGGTGCCACATGGTAAAACACTGCCCCACCCTTGTAAATGGGGTGCCCGCATGTCCAGGCTCTCAATTCGAGACCACTGTCCTCAGGTTCTTGGAGAGAAGAGATATGGGCAAAAACCCCAAAAGGCAGGAGCAAATTTGATTCAAAATCTTGTCTGTGGTTTATAAACAAATTCAGAGAGATTTTGATGCACATCTACAAACTGAGCTGGTTTACTTCACATTATAAATGGAAATCTTTATTTTTCTCTGTTTTTAAAAAATCCAGTTGCAAGGTCATTAATCACATTATCCATTATACCAGAAACAAATGGATTTGTCACTAGTGCACAGAAGCTGAGGCTGATTCTGGAAACAAATTGTGTCAAAATAAATGAAATTATTATGATAATACAAAACAGACGGCAATGATTAATCTTCAGAAACCAAATTTTGATCTGTTTTGAACTTCAAACAATAGTTTCTGTTATGTAAATAGTTGTGGGATTTTCAAGGACAATGTTGCTAAATTACAAGGAAAGTTCTATTCATGAAAATCTCTTTATGGATAAAAATTAGAGAAAGAAAAAAGTCTGGTCAAATTAACACCCAAAGCAGAGGGCAGTGGATGCGATGATGGTTCAGGTAAGAATATTCATCAGCAGAAACGGTATGGAATGGGCATGGGGATGGGTCTTGGGCTAGTGTGTCTGATGGTCTCCATTACCAGCAGGTATCAGTTTCATGTTGTAAATATGACCTTGAATAGACTCATTCCTCCTTCGTCTTTCTCGCTTCAGCTCCTCGAAAACTCCAAAAGTTCAAATGAGCCCACATATACACAAATTGCAATAATGAAGGTAACAGGTTGGCAAAGCATTTCTAAAATATTACATTTTAGATGATTCCATAAGGCACCAAATCCAGACATGTTCAGAATTATCCAGATAAGGATTTCACTTTCAATTTTCACTCATAGGTTTGATTTTTTTACTCATAGACCTAGGTGGACCTTAATTTCATGCAACAATAGAATAGCACAGCCTATATTGTTCCATAGATCCTTTCTTGGCACAGACTGATACATTCATATTTGCAACCGCTTGAAATAGAGGCTGGTTCCTTTAATAATTAAATAAAATCAAGTGTGTTTCCAGAATTCTGATTTCCTCCTGAACAAAGAAAGCGGGGTACAAGAAGACATAAAAATAACAAAGTATATATCCTGAAATAATCACCCTTAAATTTCTCAAAAGAGCTTCCAATATGAGAAGTGATCAGTGAAATTGCCAAAGCCCAGATGGAAAGACCGAGGCATTTAAGGTGTTATTTTCTTTGGAGGCAGTATAATTAGAGGCTTTAACTAACAGGGTACATGCTATTTAGAGTTTTATTTTGTCTTCCTGGTGGAAAGACTGCTGGCTTAGGAACAAGGAGACCGCGTCCCAATACCAGCTCTGTCACAGCTGTCACAGTGGCCAGGGCAAGTCACTTACTTCTCCCCTCTGGACACGCTTTTCCTGTGTGTAAGATAAGGGGACAGGACTGGACTCTCCAAAGACCCTTCTGGCTATGCTCGAGAGCTGGTAGTTTGAGCAAAAAAAAATCACTGTTCAGTGTGATGAATGTTCCAGAACCTTGTTCTTTCCGTTTGCATTATGAACCACCTGTCGCCAAGGGTGAACATGGGAAGGCAGGGTGTTTGCGTATACAGCAGGCAAACCTTCACACGTGGAGGTGCTGTGGCTGTCGTCGAAACCTGTTCTCGACGACGTAAAAGCTCACCCTTGATTTACTCACAACACAACCACCTTGCCTACCTGAGGAAGCCTGCATGTGTGACTCACGCTCCCCGTGAGGGTGGCGATGTGAGAAACAGAGACCAGGGCCCACAGAGTTCTCTCTACTTGAAAAGTCGTGCGGAGCCGCAGCAGTGAATCAGCGGCACCTAATCTCGTAGAGTAACTGATGCTGCAGCGGAGTAACCACCCACTCGTTCGCTTTGTCTCCTGGCTCCCAGGTCGGCTGAGAGCCCAGTATGGACTCAAACCGTGTGCTGGGAATCCTGATGAGCTCGTTCCGCCTCCATTTTGTTTGCCCCATCTGTTTGGTTCCCTTGTTCTTCTCACATGCATTTTTATCTAGGTCTTCTGGGAAATGTGCTAATTTCCACCATGGTGTCAGAGGATCCTATCTTATACTTTCTTACATTTCTTCCTCTCTCTCTCTCTCTCAGTGCCACTTGAGAAGTCAAGAACGGGGGTGTGAGCTCAACAACAGAAACCAAGGACAGCTCCCTGCAAACATGACTCAGGAACTGTCCTCGGTGCTGAATTTCAATTGGGAGGAGAGCTAAAAATGTGTGGTGTGGGTTTTCGTTGTTCTTGTTTGTTTGTTAGGATTCGGTGCAGATACAACGGAACTTAGAGGCTCCAGAGAATAGTAACTAATACTTTTTTGTGGCTAAAAAGCTAAGTTCCTTTCAGGAGTGGATTTTTTTATTTTTTTTCGCTAGACTGAACTACATGGTAGAGTAGAAAGTGCTTGAACTTGAGAGTCAGGCAGCCCTTGTTTCAAATCTAGTTTTGCCATTTGACCTTGAGAGGGTAGCTTAACGTCTCTGGGCCTTAGTTTTCTCATCTCTAATGTCAAAGCTAAATTTACTATAAAATGTTATTGTCAGGCTTGAGTGAGATAATGTATGTGGACATGTTTGGCATATAGCAGGTGCACGACAGATGCTAATTGTCCTCTTCCCTTTCTCCACTGAATTCAGAGTCGAATTATATAAATCCTTTTAAAAACAAAGTTTTAATTTTTCCTTTATTTTATTAAATATCCGTTTGAAATAAAGCATGAAATTTTAAGAAAGAACAGGCCAACCTCTTTGGAGGAGAGGCAAAGAATGAGAACTCCAGGACAACTTACTGGCGTCTCAGCAAGAGAAAGTTATCTTACTTTGTGGTATTTTCAGAAGATAAAAGATTGTGTTTTTTTAACTTTCATCAGATGACTCAGTGAAACTATCTCCAATCTACGCTAACAGAATATATCGCTAGGCTATGTGCCCAGACCCAACTAAAAGATTTGGAGTCCTTGACATTTCAGCAATTCCGAGTTTGTACTGCTCTGGGATCCCAGTAGATATAAGGCCCACAAATAAAGCAAATGTTCTTTCTTCAGTGCATCTGTGTTCTCGAGTAACATTTCTGCTTTAATTTTGGGAGCATGTGACGTGAAACATTGTGTATCAAGAAGTGCTTCTGTACAAGTATATGTTCGCACGTGGCTGAAAAGACATGATTTAGGGGAATTCGTTGTTCATACTACCAAACTTATTTCAACAAACAAAAAAGACTTTGGTGGCATCCATTTGATTTCAAGCAATGGAACAAGTTGCTGGATAAACCAGGGATAATATCTTAGCTCAGTTTTTAAAAGTAAAGGAATAGCAGACTGGGGGTGGAGGGAGGCTGGAGGAAGGAACTCTAACTTTGTTCGCTTGGAGGAAATACTAGAAGAATGTAGTCTCGATTTCTCTACATTTGGAAACACTTAGAAAGTACCTCACTTTTACACGGGTTACAAGTAGTGACATTGACCTGTATCTAATAGAGATTTGTAGCTCAATATCTCTGTCTAGTTGAGGCACACCGGTAGGTTTCTTGAATCTTTAAAAGTGACACTTGGAAGAGACTTTATAGAATTTTGAAGACTAGGAAGCAGTTGAAGAAAGGTTAAGAGGTCATGTGGCTCCTTAACATCAGGGCCAAGCC